GGTGCACACCTTAACAAGTTGTAAGTCATTCCATAAGCAAACCATTTCCATATTTAATGTTTCTTCAGTTAGACTATCTGCACCTGCAGTCTTACCATTTTTGACAATCTCACAGCATTTATTACCTTTTCATCATTTTTTCTTGAACACTAATATTTAAAATATTTGCTTCAATTCCATTCTTGACATCACTATCATTCTCATTATAAACCTCTAAAATACTCTATCTAGCATTCCCCCAGTTGTTGTTTCATGACTTTTATTTTTAATTTCATTCACTCTTCTGAAAGCTCCTTGTTTAACCCTCTTCACCCACTCCCAGACAATATTTTATCTCCATCAAAATCTCATGGCATCTTCTCTTTTTCATTTAACCTTTCGACTATATTCTTACATCCTCATTTTTTACAGTAATCTCTCTCTTTTGTGTATTTTTTTCTCATCTACAGCTTATTTTTATTCCTCTTCAGCAGAAAACATGTCTTTCATATCTTCCATTAGTAGACTATTCTGTGACTTTCTGTAATATAATTCTTTTCACTGTGTTCCAAGCAAATTTCAAGTCCAATTTTCTTAGTTCCACTTTCCATTCACTCTATTAGGAATTTAATCTATCCTCCAATATTTCTTCATACAAGACTCACATTTTATCTTCCTGCAGTTATTCTTTCACTCTAGTTTCTCTGACAGCTCTCCTTCTCTTCCGTGTCTTTTTCTACAATATTGACTCTTGATAGACTAAAATCTGGTATGTCTCACATTTAAAACTTCTCATAATACTTACAGACTTCACTAATTCTCTTAATCTTTCATCATAAATAATCAAATCCATCATGCTTTCATATTTATTTTCATTATTTTAAATTATGCTTAAATCATGTATTTTAAACAAGATCTTTTCCTAAGCAGATATTCACTAACTATTCTCATTCATACTTGGATCTCTGAATGGCCAATAATTTTTTTCTGTAATATCTTATCTTGTTCCTACCCATCCATTTATGTAAATTATCCAGAGAATTTTTTTCCCTTGGATTACATTTGTTCAGAATATTGTGCAATTTCCCCTAAATTCATATTCGATTTTTCCACTGGAGCATAACATGCAACTAACCTATGAATTCCTACTTTTGTACATACTGTACCCACAACAACCTACATTGTACCAATTCATCCTTTTTGATTTGTATTTTAGGCATTCTATTCATAATTAAATCTCCAGCTACACTTCCCTGGATGAATTCATTAATTCCTCTCCATGAGATCAGATCACTTTTATTCATATCTATTATATTCTTTTCCTTTAAGTTTCCCAGACATGCAATATATTCTTTCTTTTCAATTCATTATTTATGCTTATTACAATATATTCCTCCTACATTCAAAGTCACAATCTTTGTTGTAATCAAAACCAGATGGGGCAACAGATACTGATCACTACCTATCATGGTTTTGGTTAAGTGAAGTTCATATAATGCTATTAATATCAAGAAAATATAGACTAAGTTACCAGCCAAGCCATGGTTATTTGCAGCGTTTCCGTGATCACTATGTCACAAGCACAACCAAAGCTCACTTTTACCCAAGCATGCTTTTAAGCAAAGAAACCTAACTTGCACAATTTGAAGAATGGAACATCATTCATAGACTGCATGTTCTGAATTCTGCAATGCAGTTCTTAGGCAAACAACTTGTGTTACAGTTCCAGCAAAAATATATATTTGGGTAATTTATACAAATTATGAAATTAAGAAAACTTTACATAAAATGGGTATAAAATAAATATATTTTTGTTATTTTAATGCCACTTACAGAGTGGTGCAGAAGGAAATCAGATAAAGTAAACTTATGACTAAATAAATATGAAATGGTCACATGCCAAAAATATGCTGATTTGTCCATCCCTGTTGATCCTGTTTAGGATTACAGCTGAAATCAGTTTAATGATTTCACACTGAGTCATCCTGCAACTTGTGAAAACTAGAGTTCAGTGTACTGATGTATTATTTTATGTTATAGAAAATGTTGATTACAATATCAAACACTTTTTAAAATTTATTGAAGTCATTTCACTAGACTCATTTACCATCCAGAATTATTGAACAGTTTTGCCAAAAGCTCTCATTTGGAGACTTCACTCTGTTCTACAACAGATTTGCAAGAGTTAACCCAATTGGTAAAATTCTGTTCTCATGAAAACCAGCAAAAATCCCCTGGTAAGAGCTTGCTTGTTACTGATCAACCAGCACAACAGAATGAGTTATTTCACCCACAGGTTATTTTCACCCACATAGCTCATTGTGGTACCATTTTTTAAAAAAAGTTTCTATAGAAAAGAGGCAAAAAACAAGAATATCAATTCCTTAAATACATATAAATAACTTTTGTAACACTATCCCAAAGATGGATTTTGGAGAATCTCAAATAAAAGCCAACTTAAATAAACCCAGCTAGCTCACTCTGGCAAATCACTATTAATAAGAATGTTCTAAATGCATAGCAGATAGTGCTTTGCATAAAATAATTTTTACGATTTCTATGCTCTGTGATATCTATGGTCAGAAAACTGCATTAACAGTGAAGCTAGTAATGGAAAACAAAATTCCCTCAATGGCAGCAAGCCCATTATTAGTAAATTTTCCCAGTTTATTTATCTATTTATATGTGCATACGTGTACATACACACACACACACAGCCTCAAAAAAGTATTGTATGTGCAAAAAGTTTCCTTGGGTTTAAATTAGGTTGTGATGGCCAACAGATCTGCACAGTGGTCCGTGTAGTTTATACAACCTTGAATAGGACCCAGAAACTTCTGCAACATGCTTTGGTGCCACAGTGGACATGTAAATGTTTTTGGAAAAGTTAATGTGAAAGGTTCAAAAATCCACTGCAGAAACTTATCCTAGGCAGAGTCAAGTAGCAAAGCAGATCTCAATGTTTCAGAGGTGTCACTGAAAACCCTAAACCATTCCATTATTTCTGTGTTAGTTAAAAAGAATTCTTACTTAAGTAAACTTGATCAAAATCTGGAAAGGGAGATACTGAGATTGTAGTCTTAAAGAACCATGCACTTCATGTTCTGTACAAGGCTGCTTGAATGGTGCACAGAGCACAAAATATTGTGCTTGATCTGGGAAAGTCATGTGAAATATTTAGAAGGGAGCCTTGCTCAGGTCACAGAGGTTTCCTCTAAAAGCTCCCCTTCTTCACACACCCAATTCATAGAGATCTGCTGAAAGGAACTACATCAGACCTATCTCTAGTTTTTGCACAGTACACTTTGAGGAATATCTAAAGAAGAAAGAGCAGAAAGGACCTCTTCTGAGTTAAAATTTAGCTACTGTTCCAAACATTACTGCTCCTAGAGCTGAATTTAAAAGGGGCAGCTTTATTGGCTTGCCTCCTAAGAATCATCCTCTTGTAGCTACATAGCCAAATATATGGGGTGGAAACTTGCTTTTGATTCCTTTACATTCTGCCTTGATTTTGCCCTGCTATTTTCCTTGTATCATATTGTATGCATGCGAAACAGCTGTGGGAGATGGGCAGTCCCTCACATCTCCTTAGTGCCTGAGCCATGCTACTCCAAGATACAAAGTTGACTAAAGTGTCACAGCACCTTCTTCACAGTTATGAGAGAAGTCCTAAATCAATGCTCAGAGGAAAATAATGCAATGCTATGCAAGATATCATTCTCCAGTACTGAGAACCTGTTTGCAGATATGCAATGATTACTGAAAATGTACCCTACCAGCTCTTGGGGAATGGGAGAAGGGCCAACTGTTTTCCCAGCAAAGGTACAATGCTTCAGAAGCTTCTAATCTGACCTCACAATTAAAAGACTAAAAATATGTCTCCTAATAATTCCAAGAGAATTTGTTTTTAAAAGTAAAAACAAATAAACAAACTTTGTTGAGTGCTCCCAAGAATTCTGTCTTCCAGAACTAAGTCTACTTAAAAATGTGTCAGACTAGTCTATTTTTCTTTAAAGGGAGATAAATAATTTTTAGAATTCACTATTTAGACCAAGAATACACATCCTGTTGGCTCAAGCTTAGTGTGATACATTGAAGGCTACACCCAAAAAGTGGCTAGGCCAAGGTCTATGATGGAGGAATTAAGGGTGAAATGGGTGCCCTGACTGCCTCCATTGCAAGTCCTGATATCTTGCTGGCATAAATAAAATGAGAATGCCTGACTATTGTGCTCAAAATACAATAATATAACCAAAAGGGCAATTATTCTTTTATCCCTGTTTTTTGTTGCATTTTATTTTCATTATTTCATTATTTTATTTATTTGAACACTGCTTACACTTGCAGAGTTCCCAATACATAATAATAATGCCACTGGTGTTTCAAGGATCCTACTAAATCTATTGCTAGCTATGCAAAAGTTCCAAGTCTTTCTTTATGAAGTTCCCAGGAGAAGCTTCAACATTCACTTTCTGAACCATTACTGTGTGAGAGAGAAAAAAAACCTTATTCTTTTGAGAAAAACTTTTATATGGATGAATTATGAAACTATTATTTAAGTAGTACAACTTTTCTCTATAACTTTATATGGATGGCAACCTGCTTATTTTGACTGAAACAAACTTACTTCCTTCTCTACCTATCCATCCACAAACATACATGCATACATGTGCACACATTTATATTCCCATTTTAGGACAATGCCACAAATACTTATCTTGAATTCACAAGCAGTGGTATGAGAATTTACCCAAATGTATGTCTTTCCAAATATGTTTGTGTGTGTGTGTGTGTACACATGCATGTTTATATATGCATGTATGCGTGTGTGTGTGTGTGTATGAATTCTTTTACATTACAAATCTTACATTAAATCTTCCAATTTAACGAGGGTTTTATATGAAGCAAATTTCTAGGATTCTATGCAAGAGCACCTGAATGTCAAACTGATGATGAAAATTTGGAAAATACAATTTGTTCCAAAGAAAATAAAGTGCTGATTAAGAAAAACACTATCTTACCTATCTTTATAATTGATCACAGTATCAATTATGGCATTCATTTGCTTTGTCAGTTTAGGTGGATTGGGTGACAATTTTTCAGCTGGAGGTCTTCCTCTCCTCTTTTTTGCCTTCTCACCATCTTCTTTGCCTGAGTCCTTGTCCACATTTCTTCTCCTTTTACGTTTTTTAAGCCGAACTTCCTCTTCCATTTCTTCCAAGTTGCCGTCTTCAATTGCCTATTAATTAGGAAAACAGAAAAAATATACATAAACATGTAAAGATGCACAGAATAAATATATACTAAATGAAGTCTAAATGGTACAACCAACCTTGCAGTGTTTATGAGCTGAACAGTTTATAAGTGCAAGTTAAACAAAAGAATTTTAGGTACAATCAATAGGACTGTCTTTAAGAACACAGTAATACCACTGTCCCCAAGTAATCTGATTATACCCAGCAGAGAGGAAGGTCAACCCCAAAAGGTCTTTGTTGCTACAACAGTACACACTCAATAAAGTCATGATCCATTTAATTCTTTAAAACAATTACATTCATATATCATTTTTAATGTATGTTTATACACAGGGCAATTTCAACAAAGCAAAACAAAAATTCCTTCAAAATACATTCACACACATTCCCCCTTTTGCAAAGGAGTTTTCAAACAGAACCTCTAAATGTCTCAGTATTATACATCTAAAACACTACCACATTTTTACCTAATATAATGCCTACTCACAATGCAGAAGTAGCAGACAATGCATTGATATATAAAGAATAATAGCATTATGGGGTAAGGAAGAAACAACACAATTCAAACACATCCAGGCAACATATACTAGTTTAAAATTTACCTGCAAACATGAACCTTAAATCACAGCCAACAACATTATACAGTGACAGAGTGAAAATTGCTACAAAACCAGATCTGATTTAAAAGAAATTGTTCACACTCTCAGGAATATATATGACAATCAGGGAATCTGAACTTTTTTAAAAGAAAAAAAAAACCAGAGGAAAAAAGCCAGAGATGTGGGTAGTTCTGTTTCATAAACAGCTTAAAATTAACAAGGTGTTGGAGAAAAGAAAAAACACACTACCCTGATTTTTTTTTAAATAAATCACATCAGCCTTTATGATGCTTTCTCAAAACATAAATGTTGACACTGTCCTTTTGCTTCCCTGTATTACCAAAGATACATAAAAATGCTAATAAATCCTTTTTCTGAACTGAAAGAGCTCTAATCATAAGGCAATTACCTTCATTTTTCCACAGCACCAAACATGGCTAATATTTATGATCATGTGAGTGTAACAATCAATATACAAAGAGTGATTACATCCCAGACACAATTTCTTTCACTTGGGTATGTTCCTTGCAAAACGTTTTGTGCATAAACCTGGTGCACCAAACAAAACAGGCTGGCATGTTAAAAATGCCAGTGAGATTTCACTATCTGTTTCTTATTCATCCTTCGATGTGCAAATCCAACGAACAAACATGAACATAGAATCCTGAGGGAGAGACTGTAACCCAGGCCTTAATAATCAAAAGACAATTTCCATCATGCTTCCACAGCGTTCACCTAACCACTATGAAGCAGCTTAAGATCTGATGAGTTAAGTGGGAGAAAAGAAAGAAAGAAAGAAAGAAAGAAAGAAAGAAAGAAAGAAAGAAAGAAAGAAAGAAAGAAAGAAAGAAAGAAAGAATATATATATATATATATACACACACACACACACACACAAATTCATTAATATTCATTTGGCTAAAGCAGGACACCCACTACACACGACAGCAGCTACTGAAGATTATGCAAAAGAAACTGTTCTGCAAATCTTGGAAGCTAGAAATTCTAATAATAAATACAGCATGCAAGGCTGTCAACAGTTAATGTTATCGCTTCTCCTTAAGCACTCATTTGTACACAGAAAAACACAGAGAACATCAGCTTTTGATGTGTTACACACCTACACATGCCTGTGATGTAGTTCTACTGAATCTTCAAGACGGCAATGAAAAAGGATATTTACCTTACCACTATCAGCAGGCCGGCTATCGGAAATCACAGTTAGTGGGGATAAAATTAACAAGCCAGCAAAGCAGCGAGCTGCTAGTCTCTTCATCAGCTGATCAGGAAAAAAAAGAGAGCTGGGGAAAGGCTATGTTTTCATATACAAGTAATTTTATTTTACTGAAAATGCAATACTGAAAGGAATGTAGATACTCAAATCTGCTGTTTCATTCTACAACCTACCACAAGGCCCAAAGCCTTCTTCCTTCAGCCTCTTTAATATTGACAACTAGTTATCATATTTTCCCATTATTATTCCAGGAACTCAAATAAAAAAATATTTTTGGCAGAGTAATTATTGATTCCTGGAAGCATTTTAATTATAGTATCAATATTTTAAAACCCCACATATATGAATATATACTTTTTAAAAAAGCAAAACAATGAAGTGTGTATTTTAAAGCTGTATTGCACACAAGGCTGTTCATTATTTTCTGGCAATTTTAATTTACTGGGATTGTTTTAAATACCATTCCCCCCCTTCCTTTTTTTAACCTTCCTAGATTAACATGCTTTTGGAAATGATTTTTTCTAATTAAAGAAATGAAATGATCTATTTTTTGTATTCTCCCTGCTCACAGATATAAGCATACTGCTGGTCTAATATTTCCATATGCTATATCTGCTTGAATTTGCTGGTAATCTATTAGTATTTTTTTTTAATCCAGGAAAAATATTACAATTGAGATTACTGATTTTCATAAATATGCCTATTATAGATTTTTGTGTGTTTTATAATTTTGTGAATAGCAGATAAATGCTGCTAAATTATTTATGAAAAATGATTTTTTAAAAAACTGCAATAATTTGAATGAAAAATATTAGGTGAAAAAATAGATTCCCTGCAGTTTGTGAATGATTCATGAACATTCCTATATTATTTTCATCAAATTAAAGTCCTGATGTACCAAGTGTATAACTTTATTCAGATGAGGTGACACCCAATTTTAATTTGTGATTTGTTGATGTTGTATTAATTACTTGGACAGTCAATTTAAACTTTTTAAAACTGACAAAATGTAAATGAACATATGTAGTCTTCTTAATGTGACACCATTTCACGTATTCTATAGTCTACAAACCCTGTATTTTATTAATGTGCCTCATAAGAATCTACATTATTTTTCTGAAATAGATGCCATAGTGCATGATTACAAATTTTTAATAACACTAGGTTTCCATCCAGCATACTGTGACTAAATGTCTATTTCTGCAGTAAAACTTTCTTTTCTTCTCCCTGCACCCTCAAAATCTTTCCCAGATCATATAATATTTTTCTCCAAAACAGACTGGAGTGGTACATGGGGACTGACATTGCTGGATTTCACTAATATTAATGAAACTAGTCCTAGAACTACTTATATATCTGATACAATGACATGTAATTGGCATCAATAAAACAGAGTTGCAGCATACCCCCCACTTCTACTGTTTCAAAGCAACACAAACAAATCTGTGTTGTAAACCAGGCTGAGAAGATGTATCTCACATTAAATGGTGAAAAGCAGCAAACTGTCACTTATTTATATATTTTTGATTGGAAAGAGATGGAAGCTGCCATTTGGTGGCGGTTGTTTTTTTACTTAAGCTAAAAACTGTCTGTAGTTGTAGAAAGCAGTTGGTTACAAATACTAACCCAACCCTTACCTAAAATGCTGTTATCCACAGAGACAGCTACTTCTAAAATTCACACCAGTCAGATAACAATTGTGTCCAAGTGTAGAAAACAATTATTTCTTATCAACTGAAACTGCTAACTACTTACTTATCACCTAAGCATATTTTACATTAGCAGCATTTTTGTTAAAATGGGGTAGGAAAAAAAGACGCCTTGGGGGCTTTATAGCACAAACATGTTTGTTTATTACTAAATTCATTTCCCACTTACCTAAGTTTATTCCCACAACAGCAACCCCATGAAGCAGGTTGGTTAAGAGAAAGTAAGGGACCCCAAATCACATAGTGCTATGTTAAGTGGAAACTTGAACCTGAGTCTCCTTGGCCCAAATCCACTATTCTGCTACACTGGTTTTTAGTATAATTAGATTAACTCAATTCTTTTAAAACAAAGTAATCAAAAGTGAATCATCCAGAATCCTTCTCATCTATGGGTGGCTAGGAACCTGTCAGACCTTTCAGGTAGGCCAGGTCAGGAAATAGATTCCACAAGGACTACTGGAATTCTACTTTATTGCTGCAGTGTATAATAAGAGAATCTTGGAAGTCTGATAAAGTTTCTCTCTCCTCCACTCTCATAGCAAAGAAAATCAGGGTAGGGCAATCTTGAGTTTTTCTCTCTCACCTTCTATACTCTTTCAGGACTAAGCTGATGTTTATGTAACTGTTCTTGCTTTGCTTCTTCAAGATTATCTCTGTATTCCTCTACAGAACCCTGGTTTCAAGTGATTAAATCACTTCCCATACCACAACTTATTTATGTTAAATATGCAAACGACTGCTCCCCAAATATGGAACATATTCCTTTGTAATCTGAATATAGTCCCCAGTCTGTTTTTATATCTATGCATTTTAATCTGGTTTTTCAGTGTTAAGTATTATTTTAGCCTACACGTATTTTACATACATACATAGGGTATGCATTTTAATTATTTTGCTATCTTTTAAAAATATTTATTGTATTGTGGTACTCCTGTTTGGAAAGAAAGGTGGGTATAAAAATTAATCAATAGATACTCCAGTAAATCTGCAAAATATTTTCCTGAAAGTATATATGATTGAGATTATTATTATTATTATTAGTAGTAGTAGTAGTAGTAGTATTAGTAGCAGCAGCAGCAGTTAATGTGCCATTTATAGTTAATGTGCCATAAGACATCCACAGGTTGTTTTGATTCTACAATCATATATGGGTATCATGAAATGAAGAAATTTTGCATCTATTATTTATTTGTATATCAAATTTCTAAGGCAGCCCAATTCCATAATAACTCTGGGTGGAGTACAACATTAAAAATAATTCACAACAATGTAACTACTTTCTATCAATTTTTCTAGAAGTCTGTTTGTTATTAACATTCTTTCTGAGATAAACCTTAATTACAAATGAATAAATACAACAGCTTTTGGAAGCTGAAACTAATATTAAGTTTAAGCCTGCTTTCCTGCACAGTGATCAGACAAACAGCAATCCATGTTGTTAGCCCATAAAGATCACCACTACGAAAACTTTATCATATATAGCAGTTTTCAGCAGGAAGCATGCATTCCCATTAATTATACAGCCATCTACATTTTCTAAGATCAGGGAGAAATTTTATTTCCATTCTTTTCAGGTTTTTCATAAATATATATATTATGCATATAGAATGGCAATATCTAACTGGTGTTAACACTGGGAAACTAAAAAAAACCAAAACAAAACAGATTAGGTGCAAGACTTTGTTGTTCTGAGGCTAGGCACACATTTTTCATATAAATCTCCCAAGTAAAATCTCTGGTTTCTCCAGAGTAAGGGTGAGAAAGACTAAATTCTTCAGAATAAACTGTAAGAGATCTTAGTAGATAGTGATATATAGTCCAGCAATGAAGGGAGGGATAACCCTGAAGTAGACAGACCACAATTACATTTTTTAAAAGGCAGCTTCCTATGTGCCTAAGGGATGACAAGAATTACCACCGTATAGGTGAGCAAGTATTAGCTGAGCTTGCAAGCAGCTATTTTTCAAATCATTTTGGATCCAGCCCACCATTTCTGGAATCCTGCCATGTAGGTCAATTCTATCTATGTGCCAAGTGAAAACGCTGCTTTTTAGTTTGGCACATATATCCTTGATAACTTCTAAATATTTTAATAGCTAGCATTTCTTGTCTTTTATTCAACCTCTGAGAAGAGTTAATTTTTCTTAGGGTTATAATTTTGTTGAAATTCTCCCCATATCAATCAGGCAATCTATATCAAGCACCCAGTCTACCCCAAGCAAGCAAACCCCAGATGTTCCATCACATGCACACAATTGACAGGCAAGAGCATTTGGGTATATTCCAAATGACAAAGATTCTCTGAAGAATTAAAACATCTGGTAAGACAAGGATATAAATCTTCATGGCTCATTGCAAATGTTCATTTCCAGGCATATTTTTGGATCTCAGGATTATTTAGCAGGGATAAGATAATGGAAACACAGAGAGAATGCCTTTTCAAACTTCTAAAGATATATTTACTCATTTCCTCAGTAAGTCTTATTGTAATAATGGTTCTTTATATCACAAGAAATTGCATCCAATTAAGAGATGTAACTTATTATGTGTGATATAGTACAAGATCCAAGCAGAGACATTTCCGATTGTTGTTCGCCGCCCAGAGTTGCTTCGGTGAGATGGGTGGCTATATAAATTTGCTAAATAAATAAATAAACAAGCAAGCAAACAGACATTACAAATATAATACCTTCTTTGTTCACCTTTGAACAACTATGTGAGTCAGTTGAAAACTACTGAACTTAATTGCAGTAGGGAGACTTCTTGCTAGACCAAGTTATTATTTGTCAGCATACTCATAACCAATTATTCCATCTAACAGGAATTTCTTACCATAAGCACAACAACAAAATAGCCCATCCAAAGGCAAGAGTAAGGTTTTTTCATATCTGCATCCAGATACAGATATAGGTAGATATAGATATACACACACACACACACATACATATACACACACCACACAAACTCATATACAGGCAGGGAATTAACATGAAAAGATATGTACTCTGAAACATGTATCCTTGACTCTCCCTGCCTAAAGAAGATGTGATGAACATTTAAGTCCTCTGGTCCCTTTGAAGCTCAACATTTTAGTGGAGAAAGAAAGAAATGGGAAAATATTCCTCCAATCCTAATTCATCACTCCTTTATCAACTCTTTAAATTACTGAAGGGGCAAAGTCCCTAACAGAATAAGTATCTTGAAGTAAAGGAAAACTCCTACTCCACTAGCTCAAATGCCCCCTTCTCAACCATCCTGTGCATTGGTTGCTGCCCTCCCCACCTCCCAACACCACTCAATTTAGAGCTAGACAAGCAACTTTCTGCTCATTAAATCCAAAACCTCAGAGCTCAGCAATTTCAGTACTATCGGGGGGGGGGGAGATTTCCCTAATTACTTGTTCATCCCAAGGGACAATTTCATTTTATTCTCCAATCTGTATTCCTGTATCTCATAATTAATATAGAAAAGAATAAACTCTACATACCCTTAACCACTGTTTTTCAGTCAAAGCATCACTGTAGTCCACATCCCTACGCTGACGGGACCCTCTCCCAAATATTTTTTCCTCTTCTTCTTCGCATGTAAGCCTTTCAACTTCAGCATCATCTTTGATTATCCAAGATGGCAACTCATCTTCCTCCATCAAGCGTGGTTTGCGTTTTGGATTTCGAGCATCCTCCCTGCGCCTATCCATGTCCATTCGCTGTAGAAGTAATAAATATGATAGTTAAGAAAGCTACTAGCAAAATGAATGCTTAGATTTTCTCAATAAAATTATCTGCCATGAATAGCTTAGCAAATGACAAAACATGGATTCTGCAACATCATGAACTAGAATTATCTGCTGAACAGGAAATGCAATTAAACAGCCTCTCTGAAAAGCATGTCTTAAATATAGTAAGCTATATACATCAGCTATTCTATTTTAGACAAAATGGGATCACCAAGACACAAGAGGGAGTTATCAGGATGACTGAGGAATAAGGTTTGCAGAACTACAAAAGGTCCTTCAGCAACAGATTTCTCTTATTTGTATACAGGTAGTCATTGCTTAATGACCACAATAGGGACTGGAAAATTCATCATTAAATGGGGTGGTCGTTAAGCGAGGCATCACATGACTGTACCCAATTTTATGACTTTTTTTGCAGCGGTCGTTAAGTGAATCATGTGGTTCCCATTGATTTTGCTTGCTGGAAGCCAGCTGGGAAAGTAAAAAATGGTGATCACATGACCCTGGGACGTTGCAACTATCGTAAGTGCGAGCTGGTTGCGAAGCGCCCAGATTGTGATCACATGACTGTAGGGGGTGCTGCAATGGTCATAAGTAGCTTTTTTCAGCGCCATCATAACTTTGAACAGTTGCTAAACAAATGGTCATTAAGCAAGGACTACCTGTATATTAGTAGTTTTAAGCATCAGTTCTTCCCCAATAATCTTCTAAAGTAATATCAAAAACTAAGAGCAACTACAGCTTTTGCTATCACATGTGTCACAACACTGAGCTCTTTAGCAATCTGTTCTATAACCTGGTGTACAAGTAACATTAAGCTACAATTTAGTAGTACACCAGTAGTACTCTTTCCCATTCCTTCTCCTGATTCATCAATTTAGCTGATGCCCAATTTGGCAATAAATAAAAATTGAATTAACATTAAAAAAAAACACTACTTACTAAGCAAAAAATCTCAAACCAATAATTATTTAATCTGATTTGTTTCCTGCCACTTTGTTTCCATATATAGTAACAACAAATTAAACTAAAGTTTAACTACAGTAAATTCTGTTCTTCTCCCAGTTATGGGTGAGGCAGAGGGGTTTTGTGTGCACTCATTTCTGCCTATGCACAAACTATGGTTTAGTGTTATATACTAACTACACAAACATGATATGAAAAGCCATCTGGACATATTCCACTCTATAATTTGAAATTATAGAATTTCAGCCCAGATAATGGAATTATACTTTCAAGTCCTTGTATATTTCCTACAGCAGAATTTACAGCAAAATAACTAACACAAAGATTACAAACCACACTGCACACAAAGTACTAATGAGTGTCATTACTATAAGATGTTCACATGAGTAAATTACAGAATGTTATTCTTTTACTGACATTTTTATAGCAACATGTCAGATGATGGGCTTAGCTTTAAATGTTTTTAATTACATCCATTCCTGAAGAAACGTTTGAGAGTAATATCAATCACTCAGCCCAAGAGATTGATCAATTAAAGCTTGAAGTTTTCATTAAAAATGAAGGTGACAGACTCTTTCATTTCAATGAAAAATATTTACCCAAAACACTCTATGGTCATATTACAAATATTACGTTGTTTCTATTAAGAATAAGAAAGCATGTGAAATACCTGTGGATACTGAGAATCTATTAAGATTTTAATCCATGTGTGCATGCGTATGCATGCGCTTGCTCTCTCTCTCTCTCTCTTAAATCACTGGGATTATATTACTATCCTAAAATTTTATCCACTTCATTTTGTCCCTTCTACTATAATTTTGTCCCTTTAAAAGGAAACAGAGGGGGTTCTTGTGATTGTTTTTCGAATGATTACAAGATTTCACAGTAGGAATGCATGAAAGAGAAGGGTATCTTCATTCATTCTGGGGGAAAAGGAAGATCTTGCTTAATGTAAAAACTCCAGTATGGCTACAGGCTGTGACATTATTAGGCCCCTATAGATATCCCAAGTCTATCTTCAATTAACCCTAAAGAATTTATTGGCTTTAGAGAAACTGAATGTGTTTTTGTCTTCTGACTAATCCATTAGTCTTAAAATATTTCCAGTTCTTTAACTCATGACTCTAACCAATATTCCATTTGTTTCTGTTCTTCATCAAACCACACCGTTGGCTCTCTCTAACATCTTTATTTATAACTAATAATACAATCCATAAACATTAGGCCTCTAATTATATAGGGCCTTCATTTTTTAAAAGTATTGTTATTATTGTCAATGATCTACATACTACATAACTATTATGTTGGTTTGTTATTTTAGTCTGCACATTTTTCTTAATAGTACTGTATATATTATAAACAAAAAAGTAAATAGATAACAAACATTCTTCAAATGAATTGCATTATTTCTCCACATTGCTGCCTCTTGCTTTCATTTCCTCTGATCAAGATCTGTCACTAAGAACTATGAGAGAGGTCAAGAGGCAGACAACAAACAGAACAGGTGAAGAAGAGGGACCAGCTGGATTAGCAGCAGGTATCATAGCAGCCTCTTGTGGCACACATAGAGAAATGCATTTCAAGACTTCTTAACCCAATAAACAGATTAGTACTTTATTTCACTCAGGTTTTATAGAAAGACATAAAAACAATTCATTTAATTTATGCTGACCTATTTTGAAAAATAGCATGTTCTATTCATTTGTCTCTTTTCAATTTGGTCAACATATAGGTTCAAAGTTCACAGATGGATGAATAATAATTTTGCTAGTTCAAAGGACGTTTCAGTCTATTCTGTGTTCCGTTCAAATGCTAGAAATTGCATCCACATCATCTGGTCAACAGAAAACAGCAGTTATGAAGTCTGATTATGGAAGTGGATATCTTAGAAAGGACATAAAGATGCAAGGTATGCTATTTGTTATTGACTATCTTTCTGTGTCATATATTCACAATTTTAGGGAATTCACAATTTTCTAGCCTTAGTGAATCCATCACTAGGCTAAAAAGTGAGCTATGAAGGTTATCAAAGGCAACAACTAGATACAAGATTGCATAGAATCATTACCATGAAATGATCAAATTCCTCTTCATTTCGTGCAATCATCTGATTCAGAGTCTCATCATCAGGAACTTCATCTTCTTCCTAAAGATGGAAACAAAAATGTTTAGAAAATATATGCATGTGCATATATAGGGAGTCCTCAGGTTATGATGGCAATTGGGATTCTCGCCATTAAGCGATACAGTCATAAAGCGCAATGTCACGTGACCGCATTGCTTAGCAATGGCAATTCAGGCAGTTCCAATTGCTGTCGTAATTCCAAGACACATGGATTGTTAAGTGGGAAGCTGTGGGAGTCCCAGGTAAGGAGTGGAGGGGTGGATGTGGGAGGCCCTGGGAGACCCAGTACAGGCTGCGTGCAAGTTGGGGGAGGGGTTCTGCAGTGTGATGTGAGGGCAGGAAGGCTGAGGAAAAGAGGCATGGGTGTGTGCGAGTGCAGGGAGGCCGAGAGAAGGAGGGTGCAGGTGTGTGCGACCACAGGGAGGTTGAGGGAAGGAGGACATGGTGCAGTGCGCAGGAAGGCCAGTGAGGGGGGGTACTTATCAGAGCGACTTGCAAACTTCCTGCCACCTTCCCCATTGACTTTGTTTTTGGGAAGCTGGAAGGGAAGGTTGCAAATGGCAATCATGTAACCACGGGATGCTGCAACTGTTCTAAGTGTGAGCTGGTTGCCAAGCGCCCAAATTGTGATCATGTGACTGACCATGGGGGTGCTGCAACGGCCAGAACTTTGAGGACCAGTCGTAAATACTACTCGTTCAATGCCATCACAACTTCAAATGGTCGCTGAATGCGTGATCAGTAAGCAAAGACTACCTATATGTTCGTTTTACATCACAAATGGCCTATATTTTAAGTGTTTAACGCAGATTCAATTTAGTCACGCCTTTTGGGTACATTTTTCTTTACAGCTATGAAGCATCTGTTGTAATAAGAACAAAGACTCAATCCATACCTAAATTTTATTTTAACCAGAGATTCTATAGAGAAATGAGATATCTATGGTTTCAAACATAAATATGTTTCCATCACTCAATGCATGAGAGGATGTTTCTCAGCCTAATTACCTGCCTGAAACAACCCAACTCAGAAATTGGGTTTCACACATCTCTTTCCCCAGGGTCTGTGAATGGTTAAAGCTAGAGCTATCACATCTGGGTTGCAAAAATCCATGTGATCACTAGAAGGCAGCAAAGTAAGATGGAAAATTTTAATATTTTGCTGCCTTCTAGGGGTCATGCAGATTCTTGCAGCATGGTTATAGTAGCTCTAGTGAAGTACTAAACATTCATCTTCTGAACTGTTTAGTATAAAATATTACAATATATATCAATGAACTTGTTTTGGATGCTTGATCTGTTCCTTTAAATCATAGGCCTTTCTGAACAGCAACATAACAACAAGATGTTGTTTGAATTTTCTTTTATCATCATTTTGTATTCCCTAGGGAAGCTCAACTTCTTCTCCAAGAAGGAAACCAAGATCCCACACCATGAGCACATAGAAGGATGAGATATAGAATGACGCTGAAAGTTGCCGGCCAGAAATGGCTGACGCTTCGGCGGTTCGAGTCCAGCCTTCGCGTTAAACAGGGTGAGCTCCTGTT